AAAGGTGTACTACTGATGGACACGACATTCCGTGACGCGCATCAATCTCTCTTAGCTACACGCGTCCGATCTCACGATCTTCTAACGATCTCACCCTTTGTGGCACATAAATTCAACAAGCTTTATTCCTTGGAGAACTGGGGAGGTGCAACCTTCGACGTAGCATTAAGATTTTTACACGAGTGCCCGTGGGAACGTTTGGAAGATATGCGTAAAGCCATTCCCAATATTCCTTTCCAAATGTTATTAAGAGGTGCTAATGCAGTCGGTTATACAAATTATCCGGACAATGTTGTTTTCAAATTTTGCGAATTAGCCGTCCAAATGGGTATAGACGTTTTCAGAGTGTTCGATTCTTTGAATTACATGCCTAACTTGATCATCGGTAAGACTATATTCTTTTCGTAAAAGATATCTTCGAACTTTTTTTTTATGAACAATTATAATTAACGGATTAAGATCTTTCTCAGGAATGGATGCAGTTGGTAAAGCCGGTGGAATCATAGAGGCCGCGATCTCATATACAGGAGATGTCAGCAATCCGGAACGTAAAAAGTACGATCTAAAATATTACACAGATTTGGCAAATGAATTGGTCAAGGCTGGCACTCATGTCTTGGCGATCAAAGATATGGCAGGTCTTTTGAAACCAAAAGCTGCAACAATATTGATCGACGCTATCAGACAAAAAAATCCTGACGTGCCAATTCATATCCATACTCATGATACCGCAGGCGTCGGGGTTGCATCGATGCTGGCCTGTGTTGAAAGCGGAGCCGACGTTGTTGACGTTGCTGTTGACAGTATGTCTGGAATGACCAGTCAACCTTCCATGGGAGCCATTGTCGCTTCATTGCAGGGTAAAGTATTCGTAATAGTTTTATTTTTATTCAGGTTTCTTTTTGAAGTCCATTAATTTTTATACAAAACTTTAGGTACACCAAACGATACGAATCTGGAACTAAACGATGTCTCGGAATATTCAGCTTATTGGGAACAAACTAGAACGCTTTATGCACCTTTTGAATGTACTACGACGATGAAGTCAGGAAATGCTGATGTATATTTGAACGAAATTCCAGGAGGTCAATATACAAATCTTCAATTCCAAACGTATTCCCTTGGATTGGGTCAATTCTTTGAGGATGTCAAAAAGGCATATAGGGAAGCCAATCTGTTACTCGGTGATATCATTAAAGTTACACCTAGCTCAAAAGTAGTAGGCGATTTGGCGCAATTCATGGTACAAAATAAACTCTCTTCTAAAGATGTACTTAACAAGGCCGAAGAATTGTCTTTCCCGAAGTCGGTAGTTGAATTCCTACAAGGTGCGATTGGTGAACCTCACGGTGGATTCCCTGAACCTTTTAGATCTAAGGTTCTGAAAGATATGCCAAGAGTAAAGGGTAGACCAGGAGAGAACTTGGCACCTTTAGATTTTGCCAATTTAAAGAAAGAATTACAAGAAATCTATCCACATGTTACGGAAAAGGATGTTATGTCCGCAGCCTTATATCCTAGCGTGACGAACGATTACTTAAACTTTAAAGAAAAATTTGGTCCGGTGGACAAACTTGAAACTAGAATTTTCCTCACGGGGCCAAAGGTAGGCGAAGAATTTGACGTAACTATAGAGAAGGGTAAGACGTTAGCCATTAAAACTTTGGCAGTTGCCGAAGATCTTACGAAAAATGGTGAACGTGAAGTATTCTTCGAAATGAATGGTCAATTGAGATCTGTATTCATTAAGGATAAAGAGGCTGTTAAGGTAAGATTTATTAAATTTATATATATATATATATATACATATATCAAAAATTTTTTGATAATAATCCAATGCTTTAATTCATTCTCATTATTTCTCAGGAACTTCACGTACATCCAAAAGCGGATAAAAGTAATAAAAATCAAATTGGAGCTCCTATGCCTGGTACCGTCATTGATATCAGAGCAAAAGTTGGTGATACGGTAGACAAAGGTGCACCTTTGATTGTCTTATCTGCGATGAAAATGGAGATGGTAGTGCAGGCACCAAAGGCAGGAAAAATAAAAACGGTAGATGTTAGTCAAGGGGTAAGAGTGGAAGGAGATGATCTTCTTGTGACCCTTGAATAAGATGAGCCAAAATTATAGAATATTCATTAGTCATTTTTTTACATAATTCGTTACAACAGAGAATCTCTCTGCATTACATTATTTTCATAATACATATGTTCTTCGCCCTTGCTAAAATTTTATCAACCACGGACTATTAAGTATCGAGGACATTTTCAAATATTTACAAAAAATACATTATTTTACACATTCTTCTCTTCTTCTTCATCTTTGTTAGAATATTTATAATTTCAATGATGCTATAGTAGCAAAAAAATTTTTAATATACGTATATAATACTGCCTAAAATGTAATTCAATTGTGCCTAAAATGTCAATTCATATTAGAGATGTATGCTTTATAAAATATTCACAAAACAAAAAGAATTGGTTGCATTAAAGTAATAGATTTTTTATATTCTGATATACATAAATGAAAACTGGAATTCATTTGTTGATTTATTATTAAAATGTATCATATAATAGTAATTTTAATAATCCCCACGAAAAGTAGAAATATAAAATATAGAAAACAGGATAGTTAGATTTTATATATATATATATATAAATCAATTACCTATATTTAAAGTTATGTACAAAAACAATGACTATTTTTCTCAATCTAAAAGAGTTCTAGTAAGAAAATATCAGTGACTCCTGGGTTTTTGTCATATTTAAATTGCTCTATTTAAATTGTTATTTCAGACTATATGTACATATGTCATATCTACCCTGAAAATTGTCAATGATTAACCGTCATATTCTCTGGTTTCACTGATAATTGTATATATAGTCATAAGTGAACATAAGTTTTTAGCTTATACTTGTTATAAATGTATAATTGTATTTGACAAAAAATTATTGTGCTAGTTGAAGTAATTATAATATTTTCAAGCTGCATATTATTCATAATAAATGTATTAAAAAGAAAAAAAAAAAGAAAGAATCAGCCCGTTTCATATACAATCATCAATTTTATATACAAACATTGCTGTTTCTTTGACAATAGTAATAAATAAAAGTTATAACTTTTGTGCAAATTTATGAAAACATTTGAATTTACCAAAAAAATTGAACATTTTTTATGAAATAATAAACAGTTAATACATATGTGAATTTATCGTCTGTATGTTATTAAAAAACATTTTAAAACAAATTTACATGTATACTTTATGAAGTCATTTCTTTTTATTTGTCGTGATTAAATAGAATGATGATTCAATCTTAAAATTTTTATAGCAAAAATATCACTTGTTCCGATCAATAAAAGATATGCTTTTACATATGTCTCGCATTAATTATTGTCACAACAATTAGAACGAATTGTCAAGAAAATTTAAAAACAATTTCCCGCCGTTTTTAATTATTTTTAAAAAGTTATTTTGCACCATCTGGTGGTACTTCAAAAGAATTAAAACTATTATATAGTTTTTATATATATATATATACGTATATATATATATTACGTAAATATATATATACGTAAATTATTTCTAGGTTTTTCTTCGTAGGTAATTTAAACTTTGAATTCTTTCTGTTTTTAAAAATTACTACAAAAAAATAAGAAAAGTTTGGTAGAAGGGAGTTACAATATTTGAGGAAACTACAACCTAGTATCCGTCAGTTTCATGGATACCGTCGACGTGTCGATGCCGAAGATAGAAATTGTATTTGTTGTGTTATCAGTGACAGAAGTCGTGAAGGCTTTCTTGATTATTTAAAAGATCGCTTTTATAGAAAGAGGTATTTAAAATGGAATGTTATAGAAGAAAATTATTCAAATAATCATATTAACAACATAATAACAATCGTTTCTTTCAGAAATGAGTATTAATCCGATGAAATGGAAAACTAAAAATATTATATATACAATAATAATAATTTCTATGTTTTATTATCTTTTTATTCATAAGAAAACTAAGCAAACGAAGAACGTAGGTATTATCAATAATACCCATCCAATTTATGTATGGGAATTTGTAGCAGATTTCAGCAATATGAGATTATTAAATCCACTTATGTACGTACCTTAATGTTATTAAATTCTCGATAAGAAAAAAAATTAAGAAAAAGAATTAAAAAAAAAAATATCACGAAGTGTTACAAATTTTAGAGATGATTTCAACATCACCGCGGAGAGTGGAAATTACGATCACTGGCAATATTCCGTTGAATATAATGAACATTTACGTTATATACCATTCATAGAAAACTTTGGTGTTGGACATTATTCGATAAAAAAAGAAAACGATGATTATTTAATAAGTTCGAATCATAATACTTGTTTCTTTGGTTTCATATGTGGTAAGTTGTTTTGTTCTCGGTTTTGTTATTTTATTCCTTTTTTCTGTAAATAGCAGTGTGATCTTAGAGGCAACACAGCTTAGATTATAATTGTAAAATCAGTCATTGACTTTCATAAAGTTCGATTCTAAATTTCAATGATCTCGTTCAAATTTCAGTGAGAACAACATCTGAATTTAGATTCGAGAAATATGAGGAAAAAAACACGAGGTGCACCGAAACCGTAGAATATCATTGTCCGATTACTGTTATGCCCTTGTGCGACGAAGAAGTTAAGGCACAACGGAACGATATAATGAATCGATTAAAGGCGGCGTTTTCATCAATAGAAAAATAATACTTTCGATTCCTCGAATTTTTACGGCCTAATGAAATATTTTAAAAATATACGTTCAAGAGATTTTATATATATATATATATATTGTTAGGATAATAACGATAAAAAAAAATTGAAAAAATGAGTTTATCATTTTCCTCAAAAAAAAAAAAAAAAAAAAAAACAAAAAATATGTACTATTGTTTTTCTAACAAAAAAATATATCTTTTTACAAATTATTTCTATATTACCCTATATTTATTATACGCTATCAAATTTCTATGATACTATTTATAGATATATGTATATATATGTATATATTACAATTTTAGATTCACTGAGAGAATGATGTATTAAAACTAGGAAATTCTAGTAAAAGATTAGTATAGCCAACGTAAGGGCATTAAACTTCTTAATGCAATAAGTGATAAAGGAGAGAGATCAACAATCAAGTTTTTGTATTTATATTCCTACTTGTTGAAATATATCGTTTACAGTATTTTATTAATATTCTATATACATTTATACCTCTGCAAGAAACATGTCCAATAAATTTGAGGCGTAAGTGAAACTATAGTGTTTCTCTGATTTCATCGTGCTATTTTCGCAAGCAACTTTTATGGAGGTTAGATTCATTTTCAATGCAAAATTACTCGAGTAAAATATTTATCATACTCGTGACACGAAGCACCAGTTGTTAGAATAATCGTGTATAAATTTCTCTTCGATATGGACTTTCAGTGCTTCGATTTACAATATCCAGTGGAATGTAGAACGTGACATTTGTCACAATATATTGTATTGACTCGTGTTTTCATCATTTTTTTTTCTTTTTTTCTTCTTTTTAAAATTTACTAACCATGTTTTCGGAACTTGTTCGCTTCGATCTTGCAGTGTTTTCAAATTAAAAAATTGAATGATTAATAATGCATACATTATACAAATTAATTCAAATGTGTATATACAACTGTGCCAGGCACATTATTTTTGAATAAATAAAATATGTGATTATTATTTCTTTTACGTATAGATAAAAAAGGAAACATATTTTGTGAATTATGATAGTTCTTACAGATCAAAAACCAATGAAGACAGTGGAGACGAAGAAACCCAATCAAAGGACAGTCATAAAGTTGAAAAAGATCTATTAGTGAGTAGAACATTCGCAGCTTATTTTTAGTTTTACTTGCAAATTTAGATTTAGCAGTGCTTTATAAATCACATTTTTTTTTGTGTAGCCTCCTATAGAAATAAGTCCTCACGAGCACAAATTGCAATATGCATACGCGTTATGGTATAGTAGACGCAGTCCTGGTAAACAAACCAGCATACAGAGTTACGACCAGAATTTAAAATTGGTTGGTAGGTTCGCAAGTGTGGAACAATTTTGGGGTCTATACAGTCACTTAGTCAGACCATCAGAATTAACAACACACACAGACTTTCACTTATTTAAAGTGGGTATAAAACCTATGTGGGAGGTAAGTATTTTATCTTGATAATTATTTTTTGTATTGCTTTAAATGAAAGTATTAAAATTAATTACGATAAATGTATACGATTAAAGTCCTTTAATTCCAGGATGAGGCAAACCAAAGAGGTGGTAAATGGATAGTAAGATTAAGAAAAGGCTTGGTGTCAAGATGTTGGGAAAATCTTATTTTAGCTATGTTAGGAGAGCAATTTATGGTAGGAGAGGAAATATGTGGTGCTGTTGTATCCATAAGGTTTCAAGTAAGAATAATTAATATCTTATCTACTATTTTTAATTTACTTCATTCAATTTAATATATAAATATATTTTTCTTTGAATTTAGGAAGATATAATTTGTGTTTGGAACAAAACAGCATCGGATGTTGCAACGACAGCAAGAATTAGAGATACACTTAGGAGAGTATTACATCTTCCAGCCAGTGCCTCTATGGAATATAAGACTCACAATGAAAGTTTAAAAAATGTTCATAGGCTTTAGAGCTATGAAGATCTGACTGCGATACATTTCAACCACTTTGTGGAGATTGTGAAGGCAAGTTATATATTTCTTGACAGGTAGAAGCCACAAATGTAATTTATTTGACATTTTATTATTATACCAACAGATACTTGTGACGTGGTGGCAATTCTGACGTTCAGAATATTTTGCAAATAATGAATTGGGCTAAACAACTGTTCGGTGAACCACTTTATTCACAAGTGTCATCATTGTAACTTATGTAAATAATAAATACACATTGCTAATGGTTGTCTGAATGCTTTTATTTAAAAATTGAAAAATTGTAACTTAATTGACTAATCAGTCTTTATGAAATACTTATATTGTTAAAAAAAAAAAAATTGATTTCCTCTCTAATATAAATGAAACTAATTCAGCTTGATTTGTATTATTTTGTAGAATATACAAAGATATCTTTATTGACATTTTCATATAATTCTTTTTATTAAGAATTTAAAATGGCAACCTACTGCACATAGAAAGATATTTACATATCTATATATGAGATCATATTTTTTTGAATGTATAATTATTAAAATGATTATAGATAGAGCACGTAGAGGAATCCTTGAGCTGCAAAACTAAATTATTCTATCTAAGGCTTTTTTGATTTTGATACATAAAAAAGGATTGGTGATATATCACATATATATGCATAATGTTTATATGTCATTGATTAAAAATATAAATTGAAATATTGTAATGAACGAAAAAAAAATATAAAATGAAAGGAAATAAAATATCATAAATATTGGAAGTGCTCAAAAAATAGACTAGCTACATAATACTTGTAAACTAGACCTGCATACATTTAAGAAAGATAAGACATCTAATATAAAAAAGAAATATGCATTAATTGTGCTTTCACCCCATAATCCTATTTATTGTATAAAGTCTTTTTTTTTGTATATAACCAGCCACAAATTACAACCTTAAGATTATAATTGTTACCATACCTGTAACAAAATAGTATATTACATATACTATATAATTTATAAATAATAAGTACTATACTTACCTAATACGAATGAAAATATTAATTTAAAATTTATGGAAAGATGGAGGTAATCAGGCACTGTGTGGCTACGTTCTCCTTCTGTAGGCAAGAGTAGCCCAGCTATGCAAATAATTCCTGCGATAAGTGCTACATAGTTTGTTCCTCCTGAAAGGTAATTTGTTTTGTAATTCTGATAACATTGGTTTTTTGTTACACACACACACACACACGCGCGCGCCATTGTAATATTGACATTATATAAACTACACTTTATCTTTATATTTGCTGTAATTTAATATATTATATAACGAAATATAAATGTACAAGCTACAGACAATTAGTTATATTATAAAATATATGATAAGAACTGTACTTTGAACTTGTATATTCATAGTTTTCTAAAAAAAAAAGAAAGTATTGCCGAGACATCTAGTTAATATCAAAGATCGTTTATGTTCATAAAAAAAGCTATTAACCTGTAATAATGTAATAATTGTATTTTTTTAGAAAACAGATTGAAAAATATGGCAGAAGAAGAATCTACATTCTATTGTTATTCTTATAAGAACTTTCTATGTATAATGCATATAAAACGTACATCATTTTTTGTAACTTCTCATAAAAATCATGTATATGAAAATTTTAATTATCAGTTTCATCATGTTGCAGTGTATTCATAAATCAGGAACTAAATTCAAATACTAACATATTAACCTTTATCCACAATGATACAATTGGCATTTTTCATATTTGAGCTCAGAAACATATTTGTAATTTTATCTTGAATTTCTCCATGAAATAAATCATACTGCAACTGTAATAAGTTTTTATGTATCTTGAGTGAAGTGTCTGTAATTATAAATTATTGTTGTGGAACATAGATAATGCAATACTTTTCAAAACCTACATTCTGCTGTTTTCAATAACCATACCTTTAAATTATCTTTACAATCCATATTCAATTATAATATTTTATACTCACTATCAATTGTTCTATTTTGAGTTATAAGCGCATATGACTGTTGTTGCCTAGTTTCATTTATCGGAAGCTGTTGAAACATTTCTGGATCTGGAGTTGCTCTTCCAGCAGTTTCTGAGGTTCCAGGTAACAATGTAGCTTCAACATCTCGTTTACCCGTTGCCTTTAAATATTGAAGTGATATAAATATAAGACAAATATTTATAAATGCCTTAATGAATTAAGATCAATATTGCTAATACTATTACCTGTTTACTTGGATGTTCTTGCATTTGTATCCTGAATTTATCAGTCACATTGCAATTACTAATTAAGAGTGCTGTATGCCTTACAACAATATCAACGCAACATTTTGCCTTTATTGTTCCTTCGGGATCAACAACTTTGTACTTATTTGGAGCAGTACAAAGCACTAAAAATATATTATAAAAATCATATTATAAATAATGTTATATCTCAAATAACTCTTTTGCAAGAAATTCAATAAGATATACCTTTGAATTTTACTGGGAAATCATATGGATTATATAAAGTCAAAACTTGCTTATGAGTAGATTGATTTTCTAGATAAAAAGTAATACTTGAGGGGAAGACAAACACAGGTAATTTTCGAGGAGTTGCTGCTAACTGGGACTGCATTATGTATGATTATATTTACATAACCCATGCACCTACAAAAAATAAGTAACAGAAAATAACACATTTACAATTTAATTCGGACTTAACAAAAACATGACAATTCATTTTGTGATTATTATCATTATTATTATTATTATTATTATTATTATTATTATTATTATTATTATTACTATTATTATTACTATTATTGTTGTTATTATTGTTATTATTATTATTGTTGTTATTATTATTGTTATTATTAATATTCCATGTTATTGAATACACAATTAAATTTATTTCAAGACTCACATTACGATTAATCTAATCAAAAGTATTCCATCGTACCGCAAGGAATAATATATTTACTGCAGCAACTGACCTAAAAATATTTATGCCTTTGTCAAATGTAATGGTCGAATATAAACGTCATATGTTAGATCGGACTTCAACATGTGAATTAGTTCGAGTGGAATAAAAGTTATCGGTGAATGCTGATGCTCGTTTCACGCAAAATTTGTGCAATTCTTAAGAGATTTAATTTCACAATCATTTTATATCGCTTCACAAAAAAAAAGACCAATTATATTATCATGAAATTTTGACAGATCGAAAGTTAGAAATAAACCAATAAAAACAATCTTTTTTTCTAATAATCATTTAAAGTAATATATCGAAATACTAACCAACATTGAAGAGACAACTGTTTTTCTTTCTTCTGCGTTGGCCTTCTCTAAATAATAACTTTTATTAAATTTGATTGGTCACAGTAAAGTTAAAATTGATTAAAGTCATATAAAATACGAAGTTAGTAAACTTGACCGTAATACGTTGATTAATGAACTATAAAATCTCAAAAGTAAAAGAGTTACATTGATCAAAACAATCCAAGTAACGATGATTTATAAACATATATTTCTTTTACAGTTGGCAACATTTGTTTAAACGAATCGACGAATATTTATCGTTTATTTGATGTAATCAAAGATTAAATAAGAATTAACGTTTTGAACTTAATATTTATAACACGATTGTACATACCTCAGTTATGTTTTTATTAAGACGTTTTCAAAAGACGTGCCTATGAATACTATCTTTTACTTTCACATGTATAATTTTGGTATACCTGACTAATAAGATGGTGTAGGAGTGGTAGCCCCTCTGATCTATTCGTGTACTACGTTTATGGTAAAGTTCAAGTGAATAAATTCTGAATATGATCGGTGATTTTGCTATTTTTTAATAACAGAATCGTAGAGAACATGGAACTTATATTCTGTTGGTTTTCGACAATATCTAATATGAAATTTATCGAATTATTATTTGCAAAAATATTTTCGATTAAAGATTAAATACGATATGTTATTGACTATCTTTCGATAATAGTTACAGTACAAAAAATAATTTCTTATGCTCGTGTTTTAAGCTTTTTTAAAAAAAATGCCGTTAGCCTAATTATTGAAAACTACGAGATTAAGAAAAAGAAATTTAATAAATTATTCTATCTAATAAATATCTTATATTATCGTGCGTATATTTTATTAAGCGCTTCATAATCTCATTTTTTATTTTCATTTTTACGGAATATATATATTTCCAGAAAAAATAATATAGTGAAGTAAAACTCGTGAAGTTAATTATGATTTCACAAAGAGAAGAACCTGTATGGTCTAATATAGCTATTCGTATGTTTATAAATACAATATCCCATCCAATCGAATATGCAAAGGTTTTGATACAGGTATGTATTATATATATTCAAAAATTATATATGCATTGAAAAGATAAAAGCTGTATATCTTTTAATAAATTTCAGATTGGTCATGAACCTATTTCACCACGTCCAACAGTGACGTTGTTTGGAAAATCAGCATTAGCTTTACCTAATGTTTTTCAATATGGCAAGTTTAAAATATTATAGAAATAAAAAATTTTTATTAACTTTGTTAAATAATTTTGTATATTGTAACTATTTCAGTTAGGTATATAAAAAATGTTGATGGATTTAGTGGATGTTATCGGGGACTTGTACCCAAACTTTGTGCATATACTATCAGTGCAGTAGCATTTGAGAAAACTTCTGAATGCATTTCGTTTAGTGGTGAACCTGATCAAAATATTGACGATGAAGAATTATTAGAACCAGAAAGGTAAAGCTAGAATGCTTTAGGAAAACAACAGATTCTTCGCATATATGTAATTATAATTATAATTTAATAAATCTATATCAATATTACAGGCGTACTAAATGTATACATGAACTTATACGGGATTTACTTAGTAGAATGGTGGGAATCATAGTAAGCCATCCATTAGATGTAATAATGTTAAGAATGATGGCCCAATTTGTAGGTGGTGAAATGAAATATAAGTTGGTTATATAAATATTAATTCTAACATATATAAATGTTATTTTATGTAAAACCTAAAATATTATTTTATGTTTTAGTGGATTGATTAGATCGTTTATAGAAGTATACAAGGAGAATGGAATTACAGGATATTATGCAGGATTAGTACCACGCCTAATTGCAAATGCTGCAGTATTAGTTCTTGTCAGTTCATCAACTTATGTCATCAATAAATATGTTATTCGTGATCAAGAATTAAAAACTTATACAGCTTCCACTATGAAAGTAAATATAAATATGAATATAATAATCATTATTTAGGTATAAAGATTTATATAATTAAATAATTTTTAGTTTTTTGCAACAACCGTTACATATCCATTTTTGGTAGTATCTCATTGCATGGCAGTAAATAACTGCGGGTAAGTTAATGATAATATATATTATATCAAATATAAATTAATCTAAGTTTTTTTATTTTTATAAGGTTGGTTGCTGGTCTTCCTCCAAATATGCCAATTTATAATAGTTGGTTGGATTGCTGGTCTCATTTATCAAGTATCAATCAATTGAAAAGAGGCAGCAGTCTTTTATGGCGCTACTATACAGATCCTCAAGTAATTATGAATGAAAAAGCAATACCTATTTATAGAGATAATTTTTATCGGCAAAGTAAAATCCAATAAAAATCAATCCTAAATCACATATGTGTTACATTATGGTGTTCATCTAATTTATAAGGTACTTTATAATATTGTATAATGAAGATATAGATAGTTTTTACTATTTCAATATGTATTACAGTATAAAATATATACTAAAAACTTTGGATCATATGTTCAAACTATATATGTAATATATATATATAATATATATATATATATGATATATACCTTTAATGAGAACATGAATATGCATTGATGATGAGCTTATATAAATTAAACTGTAGTCGGAAACATTGCTTAAATGACTTGAAGTTTTGTTAATATAAAATTAAATTATAATGTTTAATATTCCTTTATCAAAAAATTCCATTTTATTTACTATCTTTTCCAAGTGCTCCATTATTTTTGTCTTCTTTATTTCAAAGAAAAATTATTTGCTCAAAGTTTTAAAAAAGTCAAAATTTATTTTATTTCAGCGTCTTTATTATTTGGGCGTTTTGTCAATTTACAATGAGATTTGTCAGGCATTAATCATTTACAGACACATGAGTATTGCATCATTAGATTGTGTGTACATATTTTCCTACATTTCTAATAATAATTTATTATACATGAAAGTTTATGCTAAGTTTTGCATTTGACACATGTATAAAAAAAATATTGACTTGAACTATAACCTTATACATTATACATATATTTTTCCAGGTAGTAAGTTTGAACTGTAATTTACCTACTAAAGCTGCAATATGAATGTGAATAATGAACAGAATGCATTTATTAATAATATATTATATGTACTTAGTTTCTAATTAGTATTTAATAATTGAAAGTGAATATTACCAAAATTATTCTATACTATACAATGTTGATGTTGAAATATTTTAATAAAAAGAAAAAAAAGAACTATATTTATAAATATTTAATTTGTTTTCAATGGTTATATAAAGGTTAATTCCCTACATAATATTTTGCTATGCTCAAGTAATAAAATAAATAAATCAAAAAATATATTTTATTCACAATAACAACTAAGATACACCACTTGTTTTTTCGTCAATCCTTCAACAATACTATTTTGACATTAATATTACTGTATGTAGTAATTATCTTATATTGTAAAGATATATATTTATTCTTTAAATCTTCTTAATGTTTTTGAGTATAATTAATGTTAAGAAGTATTATGTTTGACCTTTTGTTACATGAAAAATATAAATGCAACTGTACTTAAAATGTTGCTAATTTGAAAATTGTAAGCATTGTAAAATATTATATAATACACATATAACAGCTGATATTAAAAAAATTACTTTAGATAACATATTTTTTGAAGAATTGTGCAATTTTTAAGTGCCATATGCTTTAAATATCTGGTCCACTTATGATTTTTATGCAATTTATCGATTTTAACTGTTGTTGATATAAAAAAATTACATTCGTCATAATTTAATTTAATATCGTTTGGTTTTTAAGTTCTGTTCTTTCTTTTTAAGTTCTGTTTTAGGAATGTCATATTTACTGATGGCATTATAATTTTTCACTATAAGTTATTGAAGATTTTGCATTTTGCACTCTAAACAATTAAATAAGTCGTATTGATTGGAAATACATCAAATAAAAATAGAAGATCATTGGTCATTTTATTATCTTTTTTAAATATATTAAATTTGCACAATTAATACAATTTTTATGGTATTTGTAATAGTTTATACATGTATTTCAAAAATTATAATGTCCAATGATCTTTTACTTTACCTAATACTTGATATTATAATATACAACTTGTACAGTTCTTGTTTCTTAAAAATATATGAATTTGCATATTTTATAATATGAGAATCTGCATTTTCTAATTCTTTGATTACAATTTTTATTTTTTATATATGAGCTTGTTTTATAAGAGATATATCTGCGAATGCATTGTCATATAATTTTATGGCATTGAATTATCCAGATTCATACAACACGATAAACATTTAATATTTGATCAACAAATTTTACTTATGCTATTAAATATAACAACTAATTGTTATAAGATCTGTTCATGTATTGGAATGTTTATAAATTAAAAATAGAAGTGTATATCTTAGTTCAACACTCACAACAGCAAGTATATCATTTCATGTTTAAATAGTATAGAAGAAATATAATACTAAACTGTCCATTACTCACATTCTTTAGTGAAGATTTGATGCAACTTGTTCATTGTATTTAACGACTTTCACATATCTTTAAGGATACTATTTATTTACAAAAGTATACTTCTTATAGTGTATGAATAATTGAAAAGAAAAACTTAGATGTAATCAAATTTTAATAATCCTACGGCAGTATAATACTTAATTTAAAACAGGATTTTATCCATGAATATATTAACCACTTCATAACATTATCCTAACTTAAAAATAAAAAAGGTAGATAAAAATTTCAGATCTAGCATTAAAATATAAATATGAGATATATAAAACAATAGATTTCATGGAATTAAAGATAAATTAAGTGTTTATCAATTTTAAGTCTGTAAAAAAAAAAGACTGCTACTGCAATGCTTGGTGCTTTTGCATTGTTTAAAGCAAAATATGTTGTATGATACATTAAGGTGATAAAATTACTAAATTTAAGCATTAAAAATAAATTAATGGTACATTTCTTTCTATTATAATCATTGTTACAGCAGCATACTTTCTTACTTAAAGTTACTAGATGCAAATAAATAAATAATATTTGATCTACTATAATTAAGTTAGACACAAACGTTTTTTCTATTAATTACTTGTTTTTAACTTGTTAGCTGCTTTCTGCATATTATCTTTCTGATTATTATCAATAGTACTCAACTGAATGTTGTGAACAATATAATATTTGGAATGCAAATGAAATGAAAATTCTGAATGCCAATAAAGCAAGGAATATCATTTTCATAGTGCTAGGAACGTAGTAATTATATATTAATTTTTCATTGCTTCATATTCATACTTCATTGTCTCTTGTCATTCTCAATGAAGATTAATTAATTTTAAAACTAAGTTTTAATTAAACTTTTTTAATTGATAAATTGATTAGATGTACCATGTAATATTATAATTAGCTTTGCAATTATTTTCACATTATAAATATATCGATATTATCGATGATATTTTTGTTTCTGATTATCATCCTTCTATACATATTATATATATATATATATAGATATATATATATATATATCTTTTTCATTAGATATATACAACATACATCTAATTTCATTATTTTCGATTGTAGTAATACTATTTATAGTGCTTGTTACATAATTTCTATTCGTTATTTATTTTAGATCTAGTTCAAACTCTGGACTATCTAAAGAAAGTGGCTTAAGGTGTTCTACTATAGGAGTTTGATCGGGATCAACACGTATGCGGATTCTATTTGTTTCTAAAGACCGAGGAAGGGTGCGAGGAAGATCGTCCTTGTACGAAGTTGCGGAAGGTGAAGTATATGGTACATAGATTCGTACAATATCTGGACTTGGATGATGAGGCGTTGCCCTTGGTGTAAGCAAACCACCACTACCAGAACTACCATTAGAAAGATTGCTTTGAGTATCAAGACTATTGTCTAATGCTTGAGACCGTGTCGCGGAACTAAATACAGAAAGATCAGCTGTGGAGGTAACAGATGTGTCAGCCAAAGACCGATGTGAGCCATTGGGAGACGCACCATCGTCAAGACTTGGATCAAATGAGAATTTGCTCCCTGCACATACATTCACAATTTATTGCTTGTATTAGTATTTTGACGATTCGCTGTCTGTGCAAAGGTGTTCCTAATGTCATCACTGCAGATAGTTCTTTTATGATTCTATCAATTGATTGTTATAACTTTAATTAATACATATATGACCAGAAGTATTATGAAAGTAAAAAATATATTTACATTTATTACAGAAGTTACAATGATTTTTTTTCAAAATATATTTCAATATTATAATCGACTTTTTCTTTATATCTAACTTTAACCCAGATTTTTAAAATCTGTTTTATAATCTAGTATTATATATAAGTATAATATCAATTGCTGAATCAATTTCAGTGTCACTCTTCTCATCTGTATCACCCTCATATATGGGCCGACAAATAGTAATATCTCTGCTATTGTGTGTGGTATTGTCACTAGATTCAAACTTACCACCAAGGCCACCACTACTTGGATCAACTGGCGTTGTACTTTCTCTGCCTTCCTCGACGAGAGCCATATCCCTTCGTTGTACTACCGACTCGCGCATCATATGTTGTGCTTCACTGAACTCTTCACTACGTCGTCCAACCTGTATAAGCGTAATATTATAATCATTTAATATAGTTATTTTTACATTAAAGATATTTTATTTAATTCGCATTATAATACCTTGCTAGTGAAAGAGGGTTCTTTAAATGTACCAACTGGATACTGTGGTAATTCATGTGGTAAGGGAGGACCTGGATATTCTAATTTGGCACGTTTTAGTTCTTCCATGCAACGTTCCATGGTATTAATTACGGTATCATCATTAAATCCAAAGTCTTGTTCCAATTTAATTTGCAAATAATTACAAAATTCATCAAGACTTTCCATCGGCATTAAATTACGTTTATGCATTTTCATAATAGTATATGCCATTGCAGGTAAAATGCGGTCTCCATCCAGTAAAAATATATCCCAAATACGCAGACCAAGGCTAACAGGCGTCTACAAGGCAATATAGGGAATTTTACTTAGATGTACATTAATATTTTTCTAAAATGCAATATACACAGTGCTTACTCGTTCTTGGAAAACAACAAAGAACCATTTCAATGCATATAATATAGAATCGCAACCACACTTATCAAGTTTTCGTTTTAGTTTTGGTAGAAATTTATTCATTATTTTATCGTGATGTTCGATGAAGCGATTTAGTTTAGGAAAACCATCAACATAAAATCCTAGAAATCAAAAATGCTTATACTCTTTAATACATGCATCAAATACATGCTGTGTTATATTAACTATAAAAAAAGCTCAAGCATAATTAATAATTGTCATTACAAGATATACTTACCGTGCATACTATATTTTTTATCGGCAAGTAATACAGACAAACCCCAAAATGCATCTTCTTCATCCATATACAGTAAAAGTAATCCAGCCAAAACTGACATTCCTTGACAATAACCGACTTCCATGTTGTACATACTATAAGCAGCTAATACATAGAACATAGACCGTTGTTTTATGCTATATCTCTCCCTGCAGAAAAGTTTTGCTTATTATCTAGAACTTAAATAATGTAAATAAAAAAATATTTATACTATTACATACCTATAATTGATATGATCCCTATATTGTCTAGCAACATCAGCATCAATTTGTCGAATTTCAGTGGACCAATGACGTGCAAGTTTAAGCATTTCTTCATACTTGCCTGCTTGTTCTTCCTTTAGAGTTTTTATTCCTAGTAATAAAGTCCATACTTGACCTCTAAATCTATTTGGAATACCTTTATATATTCTACGACGTAATTTCTCCTTAGTTGATGAACTCTCCCATTGTTTTGTCATCTTCTCCCATTTTTTCAATCTTTGTATTTCTATTTGATCAAGTCTTATTTCATTTGCACCTAACCTTCGTGGTAATCGCTTATCGCTGTACACAAGCAAGACATTAGATGATAAATGATATATTTAAATTTATCTTCACAAAATACATACTGTATAAATCCATATCTATCTGTAGTATGATAAACTTCATAACCAGGATCTTCCCATGCATCAATTTGGGCTCCATGTTCTCTGCCACGGTCATAGCAGCTGAATATTCTATCACGCTCTGCAGCTGACCGTGTCAATAACTCTTCCTCATTCATTCCACGTTTGAATGCTCGACCAATCTCTTACAAACATTCCGTCTCATTAGTAATGATCTACAGATCAAAGATTATTCCCCTTATCTAAAATATAAGATAATTATGTTAACCTTCTTTTAAATGCATCTATTAAAATATATATTGTAAGAGATAAAAATGCATAAGTTAATATAAGATTGTATATCCATGTGTATACACACATATATATATATATGTATATATATATATATACACATATATATATCTCGTGCAATAAGAGGTTTATTCATATTACAGCTGGAAAGATATTGCCAATACATATGTATATATTTATTGCATTTAACTAAAGGCAAGAACGACTAATAATAATATAATACGATATATATCATGAGAAATTGCGTAAATATCTATAAAATCGTATGATATTAAATTAATGACATACTACAAGCTAAAAGGTTATATATAAACAGTAAGTTGAACGTTCACATACGTACCGTTTGTCGTTATTGAACCGTATGTACATAAATACTGTAAATTCAAATACGGAAATATTTTCTGCGTTTCATATTATATAGATATATTACTTTCTTGGAAGGAGCCCTTCGTTTAGCAAAACTACCGTATATCGTCAAGCCGGATTTGGATGTTCCCACTTCCCATTCCACAGTAATACCAACATAAAAGTTATACACTCATCCAACCAGTGAAGTTTTAACGAAGAAAAAGGCGAATAGTCATAGCATCGATCGTTTTTAGATTTAAATTTTATCAAAATATTCTTTTATTATAATTAATTGTGTAATGGTAAGCATAATTAAATATTTCTATTAGATTTCATCTTATATAATAGTTTTAATTAATTTATTAATATATTACAATATTCTCGCTCTTTGATTACTTTTATATACCCGAATAATATTAAATCATTGATTCATGGCTCAACTGATATAATCGTTACGTGTTCATAGATTCTTGCCTGTTTTTTTTTTTTGTAATTTTCTCATGATCAATGATAAAAGTGCTATCACGTATTAAAGAAAGTATAATTATTATATAATATATTTCAATTGTATTTTACGTATAATTATAATTTATAGATATAGAATATTATTGATTAACATTATTCGACGGATAATCACTACAAGTGCATATATAATATATGTATCATATATGAAGCATTCAATTTAGTCAAAATGTGTATGTGTGTGTGTGTGTGTGTGTGTGTGTATGTAAGATTGTAAATTATCTACATCAGATGGTATTCAATAGCACGGGTATTTAAATTAATATTTGGAGGACAGTCTTGATAAATTTGTATTATTAACATGCATAATCTTTTATTTATTTATTCATTTTTTTTTTTTACTGAAAAACATTTTCAACAAGAATGATTCTATGACTAAGACGATGCAATTATTTGATGACGACGCAAATAATTTAATTGAAATTCCTCGTCATTTCAGATTTCCCACTAATACAATCGCTATGCGTGAATACGATAAAAATATCTTTGGATTTAGCACATCAATCGTTCCTAATCTTGCTAACAAGTATAATTTATATCGTGGGTGTAAAAATAAAACATGATTTCGATCTGTAATCAATTGAAAATCGTTTCAAACGTGATCACATTTTCTATTTGATTTATTTAAAATGATGAAACATGTGAAATATTTTTAACATGAGATGTATCTCGTATCCGTGATAATAAGAAAAATAATATTATATATTTTCTTGTTAGATCGGACGAAGACAATTAAGCGAAGCAGATCTTTTTATTCAAGTCTTTTAGCAAGTATCTTTCTTTAAAGCAAAGTGAAAGGAAGTCAACATAGTATCGTCCGAGATTCCTGATTGGTAATTACAACGAATGAAGAAATTCAGTTATTACGAGATTTTATGAAATTGCGAAGTTAATATAAGAAGGATGAGAAAAAATTATAGGAATGTATGAAGGAGAGAAAATATTTTAATATACGTTCTGTCGAGTAGTAAACTTAGAGTCAAAATCTCTCTTATCAATTTTATCTCTTTCACCGGTAATCTTGTGTGTACGTTAAAGCGCATGCGTGTCTTTAAAAGCCTCGAAAAGAGCGCGCGCGCAAATGATTGAACAGCACCGCACGCGTTAGCCAGTCGTTTGTTCATCCAACGGGCGTTCGGATCTATGTGCAAGTGTTCGTGCGTATAGAGAAAAAAAAAAGAGAGAGATAGGAGAGATAGACAGATAGATAGTTAGAAAGAGAAAGACAAACAGAGATAGAAAGAATAAAAAAAAGAAGAAAAGTGTCCTAATCATCGATAAGTGAAGTTTTGAAGACGAAGCAACTCGTAGGAGGATTTATCGATTCTTATCGATGATTGTTCAAGTCCTGAGAAAAAGGATTAGAAGAGCATAGATATAGGAAAATATTAAGCAAGTTAATATAACGTAAATATTATAATCGCAATAACGTTAAATAGAGAGAAAAAAAAAGAAAGAAAGAAAGAAAGAAAGAAAGAAACAAATATCGCTTTCACGTAGTAAAGATCTTTTATATATTACGAAACTATTTTTCCATTGTTATTTATTATTTCATTTATTTATCCTTTTTTCGCGTTATGTTCAAACGTCCTTCTGTCGTCGTTACATGTGGTAACTCGATCGATAATTTTATTCGCTTCGATCCGGAGTGACATCATTACGAGGAAGGATATCTCGTGTCTTTTTTCTTTCTTTGTATTCGTAATAATAACATATCAAACATCGATCTTATATATTTTTCTTATTAGATATCCATTTTGTATATACTCAACTCGAAAACGGATTAATATATTATCTTCCTGTTTGGTGAGTGATATTGCCTTAACTGGTACCGTTAGAATTTCGTCTCACATGTCGTCCACGTGTTGTATCGTCATCATTTTCGTTGTCTCTATTTCAACGGTAAATTCTTTGAATATATATATATATATATATATATATATATATATATATATATCAGATTGTATTTATATCAACAGAAAAAAAAATTATGCTTACACGAATACGACGGAAAAAATGTCGAATTGATACATGTAATTTTTTTTCTTCGAATGATCCTAGAGAACGTTTACACGATCTCACATATCTTATATATCTTCTAATGTACCGAAGACCTGTTTTGTTTATAAATGTTATTACACGATAACGTGCACTCTTTTAAATCAGATCAATGAAGTTTTTTATAGATTGATCTTATCCAACGACATTTGACTTTCAATAATATCGTACATAGTTCTAAAATATTGTAAAAGAAATTTTTTTAACGGTTTAGCTATTCAATCTCTCGTATCTGCGTATGTTTTTACGATACTAAACGATATTTACGATATTTGTAGGAATTGATATGTTAGCAATTAGATATCTATTTCTGGTGTTTTTCTTTCTTTTTTTTTTTTTGTAGGGCCTTCGGAAGGAAGACTATCTGGTTTCTAATAATTTTGTTGGATCAATATTAATTTGTTTTCAAATACGTTTAATTAATATTTCTATATGTACCATGCAAATAGTTATATTCTTTTTCTTTTCTATTTAGTACTATGATTGTGATCACATTTGTAAATTTCATTTGAACTTAATTTTTATTCCGTTTATGCAACCTGACTCGAATGTATTCGACGAGGAATCTTAAACTATATACAACCGATTCACGAGCAGATGATCGGTTTAATAATGTTAGACGAATGTTCAATTAACATATTTTTATATAATTTACACGTATGGAAATTCAAATTCGTGATAATTTTATCGATTGATTAATTAGCTTTTTTTTGATTTGCATAATTCGTTATGAAACGTTGAGAGAGAGAGAGAGAGGGCGAGAGAGAGCGAGAGAGAGCTAAGCGTAATCTTTAACCAGTGAAACTGGTGAATAGTAAATTATTTCTATGTGTTTCGTAATGCATTTGTATGTTATTGTTTATGCAACAGTTTATATCTTTCTTTCTATTTTCTACATATTATGTCACCATTAATAAAAACATTAATTCTCTGTATTAATTTATAGAAATCGTAGAAGCTATTTTTTCGACGTAACAATAAATAAAAAATAAAGGTAAAGATAATGATAGACAGAGAAAGAGAGAGAAAGAGAGAAAGAGAGAGAGAGAGATAGAGAGAGAGAGAGAGAGAGAGAGAGAGTAATGGAAAAAAAGAGCGAACAAATTTATGAAGTAATGAACACCTTTTGCAATATTTCACGTATGGTCTTATCTTTCTTTAGAGACGAAGGGCCTTGGAGAGCCGAATTCCTTGTACATGTGTGTATTTTCTTCTTGTACATATGTATATGTTAGTATGTTTCTCTATCTTTCTCTCTCTCTCTCTCTCTCTCTCTCTCTCTCTCTACCTCTTTATAAACATCTAACGTAAGATGACCGTAAGACGTATTTTTACTACTACTTCTAGGTAGTAGTGTAATAGAGTGAACACGAGTGTCTCTCTTCTTGCCGTGTAAATGACGTAATACTAAACGGGCGTGGGTTCGAGTAGACACGGAGTCATAAGATTTATACACTGCGCACTTGCTTTCTTTCTTTTCTTTTTCTTTTTTTTTTTTTTGTCCAGACACGTATGATGTCATATTTGTATTATTTATATATATGTGTGTTTGTGTATATAGATATATAAAATCGAAAATTTCTTTTTAGAGATCCTTTCTCATATATCTCTATCTTATGTGTGTGTATATCTCACGTGTAATTAGCGAGACGTAAAAATAAAAAATACAAAAACGTTTTTAAATACTATACACTGAGTCTTGAGACATTTTTAAAAGCCAATGTTTTTTGTATCCTTGCTAAGAATAACTGCTACTTCATTGATATAGTTTTAAACACAAGTTGCGATATTTAATCACAGCTTGTCGTTTATTGTCGTTCGTGTTCTTTCGAGTTTATTCTCTCTCTCTCTCTCTCTCTCTTTCTCTTTCCCCCTCCTCGTAAATTCTTGTTATCTCTTATGCTTGTTTCCTGCATCTTACTTATTTGTTAGAGGATATTACAAAGGCGGATGAAATGAAACGCTGAGCGATACATTTGACCGTGAACTATAAATTACTAACAATAAACATTGATTAAAGGCCATGCGACAGAATTGGAATTAAGATATATAGAATAAGTTCCCTATTAGTTACTCCTATTCGATTCCTAAACCTTTTATTCAATGAGAAAATTTATTTTTCTTTTCTTTTTTGTCTTTTTACTTTTTTATTTTGTTATTTTCCTTGTCGTCGAACGCACAACGCAAATAAATTTCCTTGAGATGCCGTTGATTATATTTAGATTTCCGGCGTCGCAATGTTTTAACTTAATTTAATGAAATTCTTGATCCCCGTATCGAATACGGTCGATTGAAAAAAGCGTCTAACGATTATCGTCAGACTTTCGTCAGAGTTTCATTTTTAATTAATCATTACACGCTAACCGGATATTTAGACGCGATATTAGAAAACATCGAGAAATCGATAAGAGATTCAATGGAGTATTACACTATTTTAGAGACTTCTTATCCATAATAAATTTGTTTTCATGCCAAGCCGAAATTAATCTTTCAACATCTTTGGAAGCACAGGGTGAAGGTCTATAAAAAACGTATGAAAAAAAAAAAAAGAATAATTTATCTATGTCAGAAAATTATTGCTATTTCTTTTCTTTTTCTATTTCTATTTTTTAATATCATTAATCGTGTATTTTTTAAACAACAAGAAAATTATTCTTCAGAAATGAGTAATTAAAATGCAGTATGTTACTTTGAAAATATTGATTTAGTATCGAGCGAGACGTTTCGTAAGTACGCTTTCGTTCAATCAAAAACAACAGCTAACGAGATTAGTAAACAGAATTCCGATTGGCGGCAGTAAATTTCCGCGAAAATTCAATTACACGTTCGAAGGCCGAGGAGATCGGTAATTTCGGAACAATAGACTTTCGTGATTATAATTGGTAACTATGTTTATACACACTCGATCGTAAGTCTATTGATAAAGAAGAGAGATAAAGAATAGAAAAAGTGTAATTAGAAGCAAGAATCGATTAATACGAATGAATACAAATTGCTTAAAGATTCATAATAAACTAAATGAAAGGAAATGTGTCGAGTATTTTGAAAATGGAAATGAAAAGTCTACGATCATTTAAACGTATCAGAAATTTAAGAAATCAAACGATATTCGAAGAAGACATATATAAAACATAAAGATGCGCGTAAAGAATAATAAATAGATACATGATTCATAAGTAACGATTGCGAGATATTTTCATATTATGAAGTCCTATGTGGACACTGGTTATGCAGTCACAAGGTTACTTTGTTTTTTTTTTTTCTTTTTCCTTTGTAAAGGTATTTTTCTTTTTATTATTATTTAATCCTCGTGCGCGATAGTAACGAAGAGAAACGTCGATTTACTGATCGATGGAGACATTCAGAGGATAAAAGGGGATAAATGACGCATGGTTCATCAAACGTGAGTTGCGAAGAACGTAAATACATAAGTATTTATTTACTTATATATATATATATATATATATATATATATATATATATATATATATATATATATATATTGAATGTGCAATGTCGTCATTTCACCGCAAGCGACGCTACGTCGACGTAATTGCCTATTTTGTCCTGTCGAATGGTTAAACGTCTACGATATTGATATTAAACTTCAAATTAATATAATTAAAAAGAACTTTCATGGTTTATTTGTGGAAAATATTCGTATAATTTTAATGAAAAGGATATAAATATCTGGAAGATTCATGTTCACAATACTAGATGAAGTTAAATGTCGAAAAAACGATATGCGAACTCAACGTGTATTTAGCACTGCTCGTTTGCGTTAACGCATCGTGCATGTTAGAACAACGTTACGTCACCGTTTGTCTGTATCGGCGCTATGAACGTTCGTTCTAACAAATTCAATCAAGAAAAAAAGAAAGAAAGAGAGAGTGCGAGGGAGGAGGGAGAGGAAAAGGGAGGGGGAATCTACTTCTCATTTAATTTTAATCGAAATAACTATAAGTCGATACACTTTTTCTATACTCATGAAAAAAGAATTTTGAGGCACGTAGATGTATTACCTATATTATATATATTCATGTATATGTATATCTAATTCATATGTATTTATTATTATACATTTACTTACTTATTTATGCTTGCCTTTGAATTTTGCATCATTATCTTTGATAGATTAATACAATATATTTGGCCATTTTTCTCAAAATGCAGAAGTTCAACGCGATCGAGTTTTGCAATAGTCAAATAAGTTGTAAATAAAAACTAGTTATACACACGCACACACATGTACACATATATTTATACGCTACAAATGGATATGAAAGAGAGATCGTGCGCGCGTTCAAAAAGAATCGCTTTTGTTCGGATCAATAAGAGTAAGGCCTGTTAAGAAAAAGAGCTGAGCACACGCGACTGTATTCTGTGATTATTATCGTTGGTTCGCAAATATCGATTATTTTTTTTTCTATCTTCCTTTCTTTTATTCCTTCTCTGTCTTTTTTCTGCTTTTAGTTTTTCACAAAATAGTAACGCGCGTACAACGTTCATAGGTTACACTATACATCGTAGACGATACATAAATACAATATCTTAGGCGATAAGACCGCCAAAGTAACATGCGATAATATTTAACGTATTATTTGTTATTTTCTTTTACATAGAACATGTTAGATATATATATATATATATATATATATATATATATATATATATTTCGTCGATAAAATTTGTTTTATTTGATTATTTGTATATTCTTATAGAATCTTGAATTTTTATAAGGAGAGATAATATGTATATGTATATATATATTATTTTAAGTAACGTATTATCGTCCGACTTGCAAGTTTTACTAATATTATATTATTATACCTAAAAGACAGCTTTATTCGATCAAATTGTATGTATTTTTAATAAAAAAATACATAATTTATGTATTTTTAATTTTTGTCGAGACAATATTATTATTATTTCATATTTATACTATATTATATTATTATGTATAAGATGAAGAAAAAGTGATTTACGTAATTTCAAATCGAGTTTGAGAAGAATATCAAAGTTTTTATGTTTTAAAAAGATTCTCCTATTGTTAAAAAGAAAAATAGAAAAGAAGTATTTTTTAGTATAGTTATATAATAAGTACAAGTGATTAGTCACGAAGGAGGTCATGCATTAATATAGATATGTACATTCTTTATGTATCACATCATGTACTTACTTGTATTTTGTTTTGATTTGTATATGTATCAAATGCATGAAGGACACAATGTATTTACAAAAGCATAAATATCAAATATCATAACAAATCAACACCATTATGCTTGTAAAAGTCAAGAGCTGGGACAAGATTTGTTTAACTTTCTTTTTATGTTATCGATTGTTTTGAAATTACAAACAATTGGATCGAAAAATGATGAATAATTTTAATTGATTATACGTATGTTCGCGATTAATCATTTCTCACGTTATTTTTTTTACGTTTTTTTTCTGTATTTTATTTCGTGTTGTATGTTAACAAAGTTGACTAGTTTCCATGGAAAAAAAAACAACTGTTATTTTTTTTAGTTTTATTTCGATTGTACACAATACGAATAAACAATACATAATAACGACTGGTAATAATAGATATGAAGCATAAATATATAAATAACTTATATGATTTAAATCGTGATAGAAAATTAAAAAAAAGGAAAAAGAAAGAACGATATAAATCAATATTGTCTGCTCGTAAAATCGTACAGAACAATAAGTAAAGCATTATAGAGATTAATTAATAAAAAGAGATCGGAATCACAGCGATTAGAATTTTATGTACGACCAATTATTAAAAGTCTATGAATTAGTTATAAATTATTATTTCGCATTTTTACAATTTCATTCGAGAGGAATGAATAATTAGTATAATCGTCAATCTTCGTTATAGGATTTACGTTGATTATGCGAATGTTATACGTGCAATTTATGCAATTAGAAACAATGAAACAAAATAAATTATAATTATTATTAATATGAATTATTTTATGAACTTTATTTTATTATAGCGGTTACATTAGGTATGATAATCATTGATAAAATTTGTCTTTCTTTCGTTTTTTTTTCTTTTTTTTTTTTCAACTCCACAGTCGTTTTAACTAATTAACGAAATGTTCTATTTTATTCGTACACGTAAACAAGATTATCATCGCCGAAATTTATGTCATATTAATAAAGAGTATTTTATAGTTTATATATGTTCTTTTTTTCTCTTGTTTTTTTTTTTTTTTTATGGCCAAGTTATAAAACTAACCTCGTCGTATCTTTGATTGATCTAGAGAAAAGGACTTGTCTTTTGTTTGAACGATACATTGGATAAGTTGTGAAGAGTCAATTTAAGCTTTCCCTTCGTAGGATCGTAGGCGCCTGTTAATGCGAAGTCTAGGCTCGATTGGCTCTATCGCAAAGTGCCAGTGCTCTTTCGTAACTTTCCTCGCGCGCATCAATATTATCGACGTTGGTTGGTGTGCGATAATAATGATGATTAACTCCCGTTGAATCGTTAAACCGTTATACTTTCATTTCGTATTTGAGGAGAAGATAGAAAAAAAGAAAAAAGGGGGAAAAAAAATAAAAAAAGAGAAAGGAAGAATACGACGTTCAAATGTTATTAATGTGTTCTGGAAAATTTGTAATAGATACCTTTGCAATATCGCGAATTGATTTTCTTCTATCCTTGAACACAACTTACAATTGCCTTTGATCAATATCGATGGGTTATATATAATTCAATTAACGATTAAAGATTAAATGCGATTGAATTATATCTTTGTCAATCTTAATGAAATGTTTATTTAATTATAAGTTAATTATTAAATCCATTACGTGTACACACATATATATATATACACATATTTATTTATTTATTTATTGTTATCTTATTGATATATTTAAAAATTAATTAGAATGATAAGCGAGGAGTATAGATGATTCTACGGATTTACAAAGTATCTACGAAATGTTCAATGATTCATGATTTATCTACGAATAAAATAATTCTATGATTAATCGAGTGTATTTACGAAATAGTCCGCTAAGGATTCACGGCATGTCTATGGAGTAATTCGTCAATGTGTGAGTTTCAATCAAGATCGGCGATTGAAACTGATCGTCAATGATTGAAACTCGCACTCAATAATTGAAATTCATCGTCAATGGTTGTAACTCGCACTCTAACATTGATTACTCCTTAGATAAATCATTGAATCGTTCTCTTCGTAGATACGACAAAAATCATTGAGAGACTATTCCATAGAAAAATTTTCATCTTACTTATCACTTTGTTTTACTTTTAAATAATAATAACAACTATATATAATAAAAAAAAACAACAACAAACAGACATTAATTTTTCACTACGACGAAAAATTTAATCCTCTGTAATTCAATTTTTTCGGGCTTAAGATGAAAAAATATTTTGGAAAGAAGTTACCTATTTTTTTTTCTTTCTATGTAGTAAATGTTGCCGTTATGAAAAATGTAAGTTTCTATAAAAAAAAAAAATTAACCTTGAAATGACTTTGAAATCTTTCGTTAGATAAAAAAACAATAAATACTGTAATATTTCCCAGTGGGATGAGATAACTCTTATCTAAACAATTTTTTCTCAAAAATACTGTTTTTTCGAGATAATAATTTTTAACACCCTGTATATATATATATATATATATTTTTTTTTTTTGAACACCCTGTATATATATATATATATATATATATATATATATATAATATAATGTTATACAATATTCAGTATAATTTCGATTTAAAACAATATGATAAACATTGTACGTGAACTAACAAATAATTTTATAGTGATAAAATGAAATAAGATAAAAAAATAAAGATATATATATATATACTTAGATACGTGACTTTGAAGTTAGAGGGCACTATAAAGAGTTAATTTAATTAAAATTAAAATTAAAAAAATTTCTGAAATTATTAATAATGAAATATTTATTAGAATTCTGATTGTTAATCATTGAAACAATTACATATTATTTAATGTGCTTTTTTTTTATTATTTTTACGATAATCAATATCTCATTCAACTGATGTTGCTCTGTGTTTCTAAACACATGTCGTTGGAGATAATGTGCGTGTGTATGACATACATAGAAAGAAAAAAGAGAGAGAGAGAGAGAGAAATAGATATATATATATATATATATATATATATATATATATATATATATATAGAGAGAGAGAGAGAGAGAGAGAGAGAGATGTAAAAAATCGATTTATCACCATTCTTTCTTCAAGTGTCTGTTTAATTAGTTGATAATAGAAATATTAAATAATAGCCGACGTTTGTAATTCCATTTTCGTATTCACGATTATATCGTATAACGGTACTTCATATGTATATATACATATATATGTATAATATAATACATTTGTTTTGGAGTTGTGTGAGATAAACGGATCAGTCACTTTTAATGTATAATGTATGTAATATTTCTCGAAATATCGGGCAAACAAAATATTATTAGTATATATATATATATATCTACGGGTCTTCTCTTTCCATCTTTGATATTATTAATATCATATTTATTATATAATGTTGAGTTCTATCATTGATTATTTCATTATTCGTATAAATTTATGTTAGTACTTTTTAATGAAAAATTATAATTTTGTAAAAGTAAATATACCGGTAGATATACTTTTTCTTAGAATTATCTTTTACTAGTGATATCTTATCTTGTTTATCATATTATTGATAAATAGCACGTAATATACAGGTGTTTCCATTTAAATGACTCATCTTATACGATTATACAATATGATTTTATATTATTAGGATCATATATGAGGAAAGAAAAATACTCGATTAAATATACAAACTTTATGACTGGTATGAATGTGAAAGTTAGGTGGGAAAAAAGAGTAAAACAAAATAAAATAAAAGAAAAAATTAGAAATATTCTCAGGTAAAACTCTCGAGGACGTTATTATACCTGATTTGGATTTTATTCCTAGTACGATTATAATTTTAGATTTTTATGAAAGTTCAAAAAAAAGAAATAAGTACATTATGATCAATCAAGAAAACAATCGATGATTTAACTTTCGAGAGTGTCACATACATATAAAGTATATAGTCCGACAATATCGAAGTACTTTTATTTTCTTTTATTTTCTTTTCAGAGTATTTGATCTATCTGGAAAACAATTAACTTCGATGGATCATCGATCAAAGACTTGAATTAAATCGCCATCTTCGCGAGGGAGGTAGAGAAAGATGACGAAGATGCAAAACGCATGCAACGTTATTTCGATCATACATTAAAAAAGAAATTAAAAAGGAGAGAGAGAGAGAGAGAGAGAGAGAGAGAGAGAGAGAGAGAGAGAAACAGAGAGAGTATCTGTACGTATATACGTGTACACTTAGAAGTGACGTGTACACATGTACTTCTAATAAATTCGAAATTCAAGAAAATAAATTGATAAGAAAGAAACTTTGCGAGTACATAAAAAGAGAGAAACGTGGTAGATAGAAGGAAGATAAAAAGAAGTAAAATAAAGAGAGAAAGAGTGAGAGAAAGAGAGAGAAAGAGAGAGGAGAGAAAGAGAGAGAGAGAGAGAGGAGAGAAAGAGAGAATTGTTGGGTATGTGCCCTGATAAGGAAAGAGTACTAACTATGAGGTGTGCCGTCAATGAAAAAGCTGCTTATGAAGAAGTTGATCCTTCTTCGATGAAAAAAATGGAGGAGTCGAGGATTAAAGAAGTCAAGATAGATCGAACGTCTCTATCAGAGGATTCTTCTTTGAGTGACCGGATTCAGTACGTTCCACAAATCAAATGGTTGGATCTTTCTGCGCAAATATTCATCCATGGAGGTTGTCTTTATGGATTCTACCTCATGTTCACACAGGCGAAATTTGTGACGTCTTTGTGGGGTAAGTTTTATCCGTTTATACAACTCATTATTAAAGTTACTTTGTCCATTATTAACTATCAAAGAATCTTATACTTCGAAAAATATTGTAGATATTAAGAAGGAAACTAAACTAAAAAAAAAGTAAAGAGAAAATAAAAAAGAAAATATATATAATATTATTTTTGGTATATTATAAGTTAGTGATAGCAAACGTAATAGTTAACGAGAGGTTGATATCAAGAGTAAGGGCGATAAGGAAAAATGATAAAATGAATCATAGAGCTTTATTTCGTTCGATTATCTTGTCGTTAAACTGTCAACATATTATAGCCTCGAATTCTCTAAATTAATTCCTATTACGTATCGAGATATTTCTTAAAAGATTTAATATGTAAGATATGTAAGATTTTATAATGTGGATGATGGCAAAATTATAACTAAGGAGAAAAAACGCTTACGAAATTTTATTAAATGAAATTCTTCTTTCATATTATATTGTGATTAAATTTAACCATGAAAACTTTTTTTTTCATAGCTTTCATAGTGATATACACTTCCGGTTTTGGCATAACAGCGGGAGCTCACAGATTATGGTCTCACAGGGCGTACAAAGCGAAGTGGCCATTGCGATTAATTCTAGTCTTCCTTTTCACGATAACTGGTCAAGTATGTATATATATTATTTATATATATATACAAACACACATATATATATATATAAATATTTTAAGATTATTATTTTTATTATATTCCTATATTAAAGTTATAAGAAAATTAATAATCTATATACCAATAGAATAATTCTAATATCAATTTCAATTATAGAAGCACGTTTACGCGTGGGCATTGGACCATAGGGTGCACCACAAATATAGCGAGACCGATGCCGATCCACATAACGCAAAAAGAGGTTTTTTTTTCGCTCATGTAGGATGGCTTTTTACAACACCTCACCCAGACGTTGTGGCTAAACGCAAAGTCGTTGATATGAGTGATCTTGAGGCCGATCCGATAGTGATGTGGCAAAAAAGGTGAGCTTGTAGGAGAACAAAGAAAGCATTTAAAGAAGAAATATAAATAATATATTTCATATAAATATTATTCTTGATGAATTATATATAGTTAAAATGAAAACAAATCGATATTTTCGTTTCGTTAAGACTCGTTAAGCAATAAGATAATATATTTGTATGTTGTTGATGTATATATATATATATATATATATATATATATATATATTTATTTATTTAAAACTTTTTTTAATTTTATAGATTTTACATACCTCTATTTGCTCTTTTGACCATTGGATTACCGGTCGCGGTACCTTATTACCTTTGGTCTGAAACATTCTGGACATCTTTCTGGGTTAGTTTTAATTTCCGATTTTGCGTAACGCTCAATATAGCTTTCTTCGTTAATAGTGTCGCACACATGTGGGGTCAGAAACCTTACGATAAGTAAGTCAGTTAGTCAGACAATTTCTTTAAATGAATATTTCACAATGTCGTAGAATGATATTAAATGAGAGATATAATTATAGGAATATCTCACCAGTCGAGAATATAGCGGTTTCCATAGCAGCGCTTGGAGAAGGCTGGCACAATTACCATCATGTTTTTCCATGGGATTACAAGACCGGAGAACTTGGTGATTATTCTTTCAATATAACGACTGGATTCATCGATGCTTTCGCTCGTATTGGTTGGGCTTATGATCGGAAATATGTCTCGCCAGAAATGATACGGCGAAGGGCAAATAAATCTGGTGATGGTAGTCATGTTTGGGGTTATGGAGATGTGGACATCCCTAAAGAAGATCTTCAAGAATTAGAAACGATGGATAAAAAATTTTTATAAACAATTAGTTCCTTTTTTATTATATTAATACGCCGGTACAAAATACAGCAGAATCTTTGTCGTCGTTCTTATTATCCTGCCGTCTTTTTTATATTTTCTAGAAAAGTAAAAGTATCTTAGATTTATATAAAAATTTTATAATCGTGGAATAACAAAGAACACGTTCTTGCGTTATTAATTGAAAGCATAAATGTAATTTCATACAATGAAATATAGGAGTATAATGATGAGGTAAAAAGAAACAAAGAACAACAAAAAAGCTATTTTTACGCTCTTTCGTTTTTTTTTTTTTTTCATATGTTTAATATATACGTATTTTCACGTGGTTGCATAAAAATACGTTAATTTTAATAAAGTATTATTAATTTTTGTTGTTGTTTCCGATTGTATCTTTGAAATAGAAATGCAACAAATATTATGTTACTTTTGTTGAAAGAATATTATTCTGATTTATTTGTCATAAGACTATTAGCTTAATAAATGAGTAAAAAAATAAAAAATAGATTTTTCAATCATCAAGTTTTCACGATAGTTGATTTTCTGTAGTAGGTTTTTTCTTTAATGTGTAAAGATTCGACACATACACAATGAAAAGAGATATATATTTATATATATATATATATATATGATTTTTATAAAATATATGTACACAAATTATATATATACGCGGTATGCATGTAATTATAATAAAATATTTACGAATCTTACTTTTTATAACTTGTTTGAAAAAAAGTAAATGATTATAATGATTTTCATTCCATTATTTATAAATGAAATCAAAATAAATTATTTATTGATTGATAAGTTTTGTAAAATAAGTTTGATAAATTTCATTACGAAAATTTAATTTGATTTTATTATTGTAATATTTTCATGAGTGACAATCACTATGAAATATGAAACATAAACATTCGTGGTAATCGATACTCATGTGAATTCTAAAATTCGTATTCACTTGTTACGTATTTTCATATCATATCATATCATCGTTGCGTATTAATATGGACAAGCAAAAAACAAACCATATTCTCTATTTTTATACGCAAGAATGATTCACAATAATGATACTAGAATAACGATACTAGAATATGCAACAAGTAGAAACGTATTTTAATGTGTAAATTATCGTGATATTTACCTCGAACTAATAATCTATGATTACTGATGATCACTATTTTAAAATATATAGAATTTATATTACAGACTTTCAATAATTTTATATAAATAAAAGTGTGTGCGCGTGCGTGTGTGTGCATGTGGTATGTATTGATAATACTTTTCTTCAATACTTTTATTTGATTTTTGAATTTTTGTAGAAGCATGAAACTTAATTCAATATTGTGATATTGTCACGTCATTATACAGTTACTGATTATATTAACATAATAAGTACATGCTAATGAAAATATATATTTAATATTTATAAAATCTTGAAATAAGAATGCATTTTATTTGTACGAAAGAAAGAAACAATAGATTTTTAACACAATCATGGCATGCTATTGAAATACAGGAAATGACATGAAGATTAATTGTTAAATATATAAGTTTAATTTACATAAGCTCATGTTGAATTCTTTTCGATAATTTCAGTCTCTTTGGAAACTTCCAACGGTTCGAATGATCTTCCGAGTACGATAACAGTCTTTTTTCTTTTCGTATATTTCATTTTGGTTTTTGTGTGGTCCCTCTCGTCTCCCTCGTAAGAAAAACGAAACTTAGTTATTTTCGCGAAACGAAAAAAATCAATATACGTTCTTATTGACAAACCTTCCAATAAAAATATTTTATATATATATATATATATTTTTTTTTTTGTTTTGTTTTAATTTTTGATTGATTAACGACAGGATGTCAACAAATGAAAATAAAAATGTTTCGAGAACAGGGGAAATGAATTGGTTTTTAGTGCTATACTACATTCATCTTCACCTTTTTGGTGTTTATGGATTTTGGTTATTACTTTTCGAAGCAAAATGGATGACAGTGCTATTTGGTAAATTTCACTAACATCTTTTTATAAATAGAAAATAACATCACAAATTATAATAATATTTTAAATTGTATCATATTGATATTATTATCATTAATTATTCGAATTATTTTATATTCATTATCGAACCAAAATAAGTTTCGATGTTACTTTCTGTTTGTATTTACATGCACGAGAATATATGAACAAAATATTTCGAAAATATAACAAATCCGTAAACGATTTCAGCCATTTTTGTCATATCGATTGCTTGTTTTGGAGTAACTGTAGGCGCTCATAGATATTATGCACATAGAACATTCGAAGCATTAATACCTCTTAGATATTTTTTCCTTATAGCTCAGACTATTGCTGGTGTTGTAAGTGTCAGTGAAAAATAAAATAAAACAAAAAAATTAAGTTGACATTATAATGTCATATGAAATATTATTTTTATTTCTACAGGGTCCTTTGTATGACTGGGTTCGTTATCATAGGATACATCATAAATATTATGATACTGATAAAGATCCGTATTCTACTAATAAAGGATTTTGGTACAGTTATTTTATCAGCTACATTATGAATTTAAATTTGAAGGAAGAGGAATTGAAAAAAATAGTAGACATGCGAGACATCGAAAATGATTCTTCCGTTTTGATTCAGAGATCGTAAGCGTCACTTTAATTATTTATTTACTTTATATATATATTATTATTATTATTATTATTATTATTATTATTATTATTATTATTATTATTATTAGTAATAATGACTATTATTCGTTATGTCTAACCGTTAACATTTCTTTTTAGATTATATTGGAGTTTGGTCATACCGGTAACATTACTAATTCTTATTTTCGTGCCTATGGAATATTGGAACGAAAGCGCCCAAAACTCTATCTTTATTATGGGATTTTTGCGATTGCTTATAACTTCTAGCGTATCTAAGATGGTTAACAGCGCCATCTTGATATGGGGTCTTAAACGAGGAGACAAGTTAATGTCCATTCTATATATTATTCGATTACTTTACAAGCTTTTTTTCAAAATGCCAAAAAGTCACGGTACCATTATGATTGATTCTGATGGTATACGTGTTAATTGAATTTAAGTACTTATAAGTCGCCTTATCAAATAGAAAGTTATCGTTTTCGTAATATCTGTGATGTTATATATAAACTTCCGAATGTTAAGATAATGATCTCTCTCTCTTTCTTTCTCTTTTTCTGTTTTATAATATATATTATATATAGTTACAAAAAAATTATAGAATCAGCATTGTCCTATTTTTTATTTATATAAATCCTCTGACGATTTTTTTTACTATTTTTTTTATGACGTACTTATATTACGATTATGTGAATCAAATAAGAGGGTAGATTTGAATATCGACAAATATCGTTATAAAGAGTATAAAAAAAACGGGCTCATTCGAATATAAGGAAAGAAGAAAGTACTTCGAAAGAACGTAATTTAAAATACAAAACATAATATTACTTAATCAATTAATAGAGTTAAAGGATGAATTAGAAGGATGATTATTATCTTCAATATATTTATAACTTCCTTTATTAAGCCCTCGTGTTCGATTGCGCTCGTTTTTTATATACCATTTATATATAATAACATTAAAAAAAAATTAATCAATGTTTTACAGATTTCCAGTCGATGATAATTCGATCTTTTACATTACCAAATCTTATTGGCTAAATTATCATTATCTTCTTCCTTGGGATTGGAAAAGTTCGGAATTTGGCAAATACGATAAAGGATGCGGTACTATAATGATTAAAATTTTGCGTAATTTTGGTTTGGTGAGTCTACTTAAAACCTCATCGACGGAAGATGTTAGAAACATTATTCACAAATTTGGAAGTAAAAGCATTACATTGACAGAGGCGATAACTGAATTACAAAAGCGAAGCGAAGAGAAAGCTAAACGAGAAAACCTACGCTTTATACATTAATATAAAGAGATATTTGTATTTTATATGTTTATACGATTGAGACGAATTAAATGTTAATAAACTAATTATATAAGAAAACTTTTTTAAAGAATAATTAATTATCGACATTTATAGTAATCAATTTTGTTATAAACAGAAAAATGTTATTCTTAATTTTATTGTTAGGATATATACATATACATAAATGTATTTAATAAAAAATATTTTTTATTCTTTAATATTTTTCTTTTAAAAAATTTTCTAAAATTATTACAAATTACATAAATATACTTGAAAATAAATTTGTATTGTATAAGAGATTTAACTCTACAACCCAATTTTGTAAATATAACATATCACCATCTACAAGATTTTTTTACTGGAATTTTGTAGATCTTAAATATTTAGAAATACAAGATTTAATTGTACTTCATATGTTTGTCGCTATAGCAGAGCTCATGGAGTGCAAAGGATTCAAAAATGTTGCTGTTTCAAGCTCTCTTCAATATGATCGGTCGATAAAGTGTTATGTTTCTTGTGTCTATATTTACGAGAGTCATTGATACGTATAATTTACGATTACGTAGATCAATGACAACAGTAAGGAATTGATAAGTGTATCAGAAATTACAAAGATCACGGTATTGATAATTGAACTTTTTTAATTTCTCTTTTGCGAAAGTAAAAAAGTGGAAATAAATGTATATATATATACATAAAATAAAAAAAATATGTATATATATATATATATATATATGTATATATATGTATATATGTATATATATGTATATATATATATATATATATGTATATATGTATATATATGTATATATATATATATATATATGTATATATGTATATATGTATATATATGTATATATATATATATATATATATATATATATATATATATGTATATATATGTATATATGTATATATATGTATATATATATGTATATATATGTATATATGTATATATATGTATATATATATATATATATATGTATATATATGTATATATGTATATATATGTATATATATATATATATATATGTATATATATGTATATATATGTATATATGTATATATATGTATATATATATATATATATATATATATGTATATATATGTATATATGTATATATATGTATATATATATATATATATATATATATATAAAAATGAAAAAACAAAAGAGGATATGTTATCGTAATTATTTACATTAAATGATCGTTCGAATCTTTGAAGATTGTTAGAAGAGGATATAATAATAATGAAAAAGAGGAAAAGGATCATTTTAAATTTTATAAACAAAAACTTTTATGAAAAACAGAAAATTGTATATTAGGAATATCAATTTGCTTGTTTCCTTGTTTATTCTTTTATTTTCATTTATATAATGAATTTAATTTCGCGTCATCGTGTAAAAACGATTTACCAAGAAATCATTTTATATCATTATATCACCTATTAGAATCATCGTATCACGTAACATAAATAAAGTATGAAAAATTATGAATATCATTATTCTCTTGATAATAAAGTTCAATTTAATCAAAATGTTTGAAATAAATTTCTTCTACGTGGAATACATTTCTTGTATTTTTTATAAACTAAATTTCTTTATTAAAACTTTCATCTTTTGATTTAATGTAAGTTCGTTTATTGGTTTGAAATATGGAAAGCATGCCAATTATTTTAAAACAGGTACTTAAAATCATTTTTTTTTACACACATGTCATTATAACGCTTATGTAATACATTTATTAACATTTATATTTAATTTATTAAGTTGGCCAATAAATATTGTTGGAATATTTAATATTTTTTATTTCAATAAGAAAAAAAAGAACAAAATATAATATAATATTGAATTGGCTAATAATTAATGTCGAAATATTCAATAAAAAATACTAATATTTTTTATCTAAATCTAAAATATTGATAGCTTCGTGAAATATATATTGATGAAGTGGCCGTTGGTAAAAAGCGCTGACGTATGATAAACAATTTTTTTTATAACTTTTTCTCTGCGATATTGTCTTCTAAAATTTCATATGGCTCTTTTAGTTATCGAGAAGTTATTAATGTTTTATGTTTTAAAATAAATGATTTTATTATTAAATACTGTGAACATATGTGAACAATATGTGAAATATGTGAACATATTTCGTTTGGTTAATATGGTTGAAGGTATAAAAATTTGTTCCTATTTAATTACTTCATCTGTCGCGTTATCGGAGTAACTGTCATTATTTTTTTTATAGTTAAATTTCATATATTTCGAACAATAAGAAAACAATGTCACTTATATTTTGGCTATTTAACTGTCTAAATAAATTTCTCCCAAATTTGTGACTTAGCTAAATCATTTTCTCCTATACGAAATCGTTACGGCAATATTTCAAGATAAAATTAATAAATATGCAAATATATACAAGAATTGTTCAATATTATTAGGATATAACTATTCTAATATTATCATAATTTGCAGATACGATTATGTTATTATTATCAACATAATTTAATTTTCTCGTTACTCGATTTAGGAATTGGAATTTCGATGTCCATTTTAATAATTAATCGAACTTTTATAACTTGTCAAGTTATAAAATTATTTTAATTTTTATCGAAGAGAATTTTTATTGATAAATATTTTATCGAATAAAACTTTTATTAAATAAAATAATTAATTATTTATGATTTTATACATAATGTAAATAAATGCGATATTGGCCATGATGAATAATATTATTGACTCATCTTCGTTTAATTTATCGAAGAAAAAGCATGACCACATATGGTCATGTCGAATGATTCGTTGCGTCATTGTCCACATGCATAAAAAGGAAGTAGAGTCAAAGTTGAAATTCATCGCATTTTTTATTTTCCGATCTTCATATACAGAGTTGGTTGCGTCAGCATTTTGTACGATCAAATTTAAACAAGATTATGCGTTTTCCGTATATTTTAATTATATAAATAATTATAGAAATAATATTGGTTAATTATACAAAATAATATTAATAATATTATTGAATAATTTTTATATAGTCTATTGGGTTATAAAATAAAACCTGCAATAGCAGATTTTATTTCCTTTTATTTATAAATCGTTTAAATCAAAAGTAATTTTTCATTTTTTCGATTTCAATACGTAGACAAATTTCTCGGCCGATCAAAAAACAATACGTAAGACAATTCGATCGTATTTCTCTTTCTCTCTCTCTCTCTCTCTCTCTCTCTCTCTCTCTCTCTCTCTCTCTCTCTCTCATTCTCTTTCTTTCTCTTTTTTTTTCTTCTTTTCTTCTTCTTTCTCGAAGAATTGAGAAGGAGAAAGGATAAGTGAAAAATGATCGTCGTAGAAATTTTAATAAAGTAATAAAATTAAGGAGTTGTATTTCATTCAATCGATCGTCGATACTCGTCGATACTCGTGAATATCATAGTAAAAGAGTGGATCGACAGGATCAAGTAGAAATTTCAATAAGGTAACAAAATTAAAGAGTTGTATTTCATTTAACCAACCATCCAATCAGTATCTCCTAAAATTTATCCAATTTATGAGGTAATTCATCATAATTATCGTTGTGATATTTAAAATTCACTAAATTCTTTGAAGCGAGAAGAGTGAGAGAGAAAAAGAGAGAGAAAGAGAGAAAGAGAGAAAGAGAGAGAAAGAGAGAGAGAGAGAGAGAGAGAGAGAGAGAGAGAGAGAGAGAGAGAGAGAGAGAGAGATAAAAGATATAAGATAATAAAATAATAATCCTTTTGTTGTGAAAAATTTAACAAGTGTTCATATATCCTATAAATTCGTAAAAACGTATTTAGCAGTGTTATCGTATATGAAACATATATGGTTAACTAAATGCTAGTGAAATTTGTCAATTATTAATTATTTCGGTGAATATTGTAATATTCATTATTCGTAAAACATATGTTTTAATTTTTTTCTTTCTTTCTTTCTTTTTTTCATTTTTCTTTCTTAACGATTTCAAATGATGTCATTCAATAATCATTCTACATACATAGATATATATATACAAAAGGATAACTCTGTTACATTTTCTAAATTCCTTTATCTATCGGCAAATAAAAGTCTCTCGCTGCATATCCATTTTTTGGCGTTTAATTATAATCTTTCTCTATTGGAGATTCGTTATTTTCCTGTAAATCATGGAGAAGAATTTCATTTTTTCTTTTCTATTTTTGAATCTTGAAAATTTTCTGTTATTTTAGAATGTAAAAAAAGAGTCATAGTTTGTCAATACATATGGAACAATGATATTTGAACTTTCATTGTTCTCATTCTGTCTCTTTTTTTTCTTTTTTGTTTTTTTTCACGAATACAATAACTAAACGGATAATTTTAAAAATATAAAATCATATGACTTCATCGGAATTATAATATGGAATACATTTATGCAAATTTCTCACGTTTCATTGAATATCTATAAATAAATTTGACATACAATTGATTTTATGTCTGTTTTCTAAAATTTAATATATTATTGTGCATCAAACATTTTATATAACTCGTACGTGACCTGATGATTTATTTATTATAAATCTGATTTAATTTAATAAATTATTAAACAATCTTATTATTTATTGCTATTACTTATTATTTATAATTAATTATATTATAAATTTTTTAAATCAAAAGTATTTTTTCATATTTTCGATTTCAATATGTAAATAAATTTCTCGGTCGATCAAAAAACAAGACGTAAGACAATTCGATCGTGTTATTCTTTTTCCCTCTCTCTCTCTCTCATTCTCTTTTTATTTCTTTCTCTTTTTTTCTTCTTTTCTTCTTCTTTCTCGAAGAATTGAGGAAGTTGAAAAATGCACTTATTATTTATTATTAATTATCACTTATTATTTCATTTTTTACTAATGAAAATGAGTTGTAATATGTTAAATTATATTGTATTTATTATATGATATATCTGATAAAAAATAATTAAAAGATATAATTACCTAATTATCTTTTATAATGTCGATGGATATCAATTTTTAAAAATAATAAAATGTATAAGAAAAATGTATAAGAAAAAAAACGATAATATATTATATTAGTTATATTTTAATATTTAACTATTTAGAAATATAGTTTCCTTCGATATTTATTTACTATATCTATAATATTTATTTTTCTCATTTTCTTGTCCATTTTGTTTTTTCTTAAGGATAAATTCAAATATGGCTCCGAATATTATAAGTAGCCCTATTGGAATTCTATTTAAAGGAGAAAAGATAGATCAACCAGTCGAAATAAACAAGGAAAAAGAAATATATAAAAGGAATATAATTTGGAGAAATGTTGCAATATTTAGTGGTCTACATATCGGTGCTGTCTACGGTGCCTATCTTGCACTCACATCTGCTAAATTGTTAACAACGCTTTTCAGTAAGTATGCACATATACATATGCTCTCTCTCTCTCTCTCTCTCTTTTTCTCTCTCTTTCTCTCTCTTTCTCATTTCTCACATAATTCATAATATTATATGTCACATTTACGGATTAAAAAGATTTTATGTGATGAATACTGAACACATTCAGCCAATTGAAACGAATATTTTAACGATTTTGTTACGCGATTTTAAAAAATTTCAATAAAAATATATATATATTATATCCATTTTTTTCAGGTATCTTACTTAGCATGTGGTCGGGTATTGGTATCACAGCAGGAGCTCATAGACTATGGGCGCATAGATCCTACAAAGCAAAATGGCAACTTCGATTAATTCTTATTATATTCAACACTATAGCCTTTCAGGTAAAAGATAATCTATTCATCTATTCAATAGATTTCTTGTATTTCAATAAAAATTAATTACTATGAATTATTTTATCACGAAGATAATTATATTATAGCGAAAAAAATGGATTGATTAATTAATATAACATAGGATTTATTCGTATGTATTAAAAATCATTCGTTAGCTATTAGCCGATCGTCGAAGAAATATATTAATAACAATAAACTAATATCTTTTTAATCTTATCAAACAACCATCGCTCGATAAAGATGATTAAAAATTGATCTCCTTTTGTGGCAGGATGCGGCTATCGATTGGGCAAGAGACCACAGGGTTCATCATAAATATAGCGAAACTGATGCGGATCCACATAACGCAAAAAGAGGATTCTTCTTCTCTCACGTAGGTTGGTTGCTACTTAGGAAACATCCGGATGTTAAACAGAAGGGTAAAGGAATCGACATGAGCGATCTTAAAAGTGATCCCATTATCGCCTTTCAGAAGAAGTATGGCTGCTTTTACAGTATTTTTATATATTTTACATTTATAGGAAATATGAGAATTTAAGTTAAACGAATAGCTATTACAAGGAGATTAATGTTTCAGGTACTACTTCATTCTGATGCCTTTGATGTGCTTCATTTTGCCAAGCATAATACCTATGTACTGTTGGAATGAAACCTTCCTCAACTCTTATTTTATTCCTGTAGTATTTCGTTACGTCTTCACCTTAAATATGACGTGGCTAGTGAATTCCGCCGCTCATCTTTTTGGAAATAAACCTTACGACAAGTTAGTTAAAGCCGATGGATTAATATACGATTATTAATTCTAATGAATGGTTTTGTAAATGTTAAAATTGTTGTTTATAGATACATCAATCCTTCCGAAAATAAAGGAGTAGCAATGATGGCATTGGGCGAAGGCTGGCATAATTATCATCACGTATTTCCATGGGATTACAAAACTAGCGAATTGGGTAATTACAGGCTTAATATCACAACCGCGTTCATCGACTTCTTTGCAAAAATAGGTTGGGCCTATGATCTAAAAAGTGTCTCGAAAGATATGATAAAATCGCGAGTACTGAAAAGCGGTGATGGTACTCATGATGTTTGGGGTTGGGGCGACAAGGATCAAACACAAGAAGAGAAACAACATGCCATAGTTACGTATACTTCGACGAAGGATCAATAACTGTTCTCTCTCATTTTATCCTCTTCGCTCTTATTTGTTTTTCCTCTTTCGAGAATATCCTTACATTCACTTGACAAAACTAAGTAATTCACGATCATGAATCTATTATTCTCTATAAAACTATTTTTGCGTTACGATTTCTCTCCTCTCCCATTCCTCATATTTTCTTATTCACGATAATATAATACCCTTGACATAATTTCACGACAATTTAATTTATAGATAGAATAATCTATCGAATAGACTATTAGAATGTCTTTCAAACTTCAAAGGTTGTATGTAATAAGAATTAATCGGAGTTTACCATTTTGCTTTATGAATCGTTTATTCATAAACTGCGCCCTCCTGCTGTGATACCAAAACCTGGGCACTGACCAATTAAAAAAGCTGAAAAAACAAATAATAATATATGTGTTTTTTTATTTCGTTGAAATTTCAAAATGCATTAAAGTCTTATTATGAAATCGTGAAAAAATACGTACTGATACGCTTTTAATTTGATGGGTATTATATATAATATCAAAAGTAATCTAAAGGAACGTAACACGTTAGGACAAAAGGGGAAGAGAGAGAGAAAGAGAGAGAGAGGGAGAGAGAGAGAAAGAGGGAGAGAGAGAGAGAGAAAGAGAGATAAAGTTTGTGCATGTGTGTATACTTATTAAAATGCGATGTTAACAATTTATTCGGAGATAAGAGCCGTAAACAGTATCAATCAAAACCATTAAATATCGCGACATTTCTCCAAACAATACGTCTTTTATATATCTCTTTTTCCTTGAAGAAAAGAACTTCTATTAAGCTACTTGTAATAATTTGTGCCATGATCAGTATATAATGGAATGATATATAATTGAAAAATAAGTACTTTTAATTTCAAAATATATGAAACACTTACATGTAATATTTTTTCATTATACTTCTTTTAAACAAATATTTTAAACATATTAAAATAAGAATACAATTTATTGAGAGACAAAAGAATTTAATACTCAATGTTGGAAAAAATTAAACTTAAGTGTTTGTAGTTATTCTTAAAGGTAAAGAAATTCTTATTTGTTTTGTAATTTAAAATATTATTTTTATTTCCACAAAGTCCATTGTACAAGGCTCATTATCACGGGATATATTATAAGTATTTTACATATATTTAATAACAACAATAAAAAAAATTAATCGTTGTTTTATAGATTTCCAGTCGATGACAATTCAACCTTCTATATAATCAAATTTTATCGATTCAATTATCATTATCTTCTTTCTTGAAATTGGAAAAATTCGAATTGGGAAATAAAATAAAGGTTTTAATGATAATTAAAATTTGACGTAATTTCGAGTTCGTAAAATTATTTAATATCACGTCAACGGATGATACGAGAAACGTTATTCAGAAATTTGAAAATAAAAACATTCCATTGACAGAGGCGATGACTGTATTACAAAAGCAAAGCGAAGGCGAAGAAAATCTATGTTTTATACATTAATATAAAGAGATATTTGTATTTTATATGTTTATACGATTGAGACGAATTAAATGTTAATAAACTAATTACATAAGAAAACTTTTTTAAAGAATAATTAATTATCGACATTTATAGTAATCAATTTTGTTCTATACAGAAAAATGTTATTCTTAATTTTATTGTTAGGATATATACATATACATAAATGTATTTAATAAAAAATATTTTTTATTCTTAAATATTTATTTTCCTTTTATTAAATTTTCTAAAATTATTACAAATTACATAAATATACTTGAAAATAAATTTGTATTGTATAGGAGATTATTCTACACCCCAACAAATTTTATAATATAACATACCACCATCTCTAAGATTTCTTTACAGGAATTTTGTAGTTCTTAAATATCTGGGAGCACAAGACTTGTCACCATAGTAGCACCCATAAAGTGCAAAGAATCAAAAAATGTTGCTGTTTCAATCACCCTTTGAAATGATCGGTCGATAAAGTGTTATGTTTCTTGTATCTATACTTATGAGAGTCAATGATATGTTTAATCTATGATTACGCAGATCAATGGCAACGGTAACAAAAGATTATTTCTTATTTTTTTTATTCTGAATCTATGCTCGGATTAGTCAACGATATCTTTGTATCTTCTGTCTTATTATCTGTTTATATAAGTTCAACTAGATTTATTTATTTTTATAGTTTGATAAAAAGAGGAACATGAACGTTATTAAGGAAAAAATGAACAAATCTTTCGTTCAAATTCTACATACTTTCATTTAATATTATTACTATTATTAATGATTGGTATCTTTGATACTTTATCACAATTTCGATTAAATAACGATAGTTTATTCAAATTACTCGATACGTGTTTAATTTTCTTACGATTAACATTATTTTTCGACTTGACATAACATAAAAATACCGAAATATTTGTATATAATAATTTAAATTTATTGCGCGCGCGATTAGTACTAAATTTATATTAATATATGGAAAACATATACTGTTGACATAATGTGTTCCTGAGCGAGATTCAGAGTTTATAAGGAACGCCTGGAATAATAATATACCAGATACAAATAAAAATAATATACTGCGCAATGTTTCGCCTATTTATTCACTCTTAATGCTTAAAATTAACGTAGTTGAGAAATGTATCAAACATTGCAGAGATTACGGAATTAACCGTGCGGTAAGACAATAGTAAAACTAAATTTTTCGATTATAAAATAGTTTATCCTTTTGTTATTATCTTCGTTCTTATTTCAACACTTGTTACAGTTTTATCAAACCGTACCGCATTTATTTCTTTATCAAAAAGAATAATTTTATTGAGAGAGTATTTTTTTAAATTTTACTTTATATGAAACGTTTACATATAATATGTTTTCCCTTAAATCTTCTTTAAGCAAATATTTTCAACATATTAATATAAAAATAATGAAAGCCAACAAAATTTAATTCGTAAATTTCCTGAAAATTAAACTTAAAAAGTTTATAGCAATTTTTATTGGCAATCGATATCTTAGTTGTTCTGTAATATTTTCCTTAATAATAAAATTTAATAAAACAAATGAAACGTTTATTAGTATGCAAGATATTTCGAAAATATTATGAACAAACGAAATGGTCTTACCGCATTACTTGATTATTTTCCGAGTACTCTGAATAAAAAGAATCTTAACTAAATAAATTATGTATATATTAATATTGTGTATATTATGTATATATTAATATATATATATATATATATAATTGTGTATATATTAATATATACATAAACACACGTTTCTGTGCGTCGGACGTCAATAAATTTTTACATTTATTATACATCCTTTTTTCATACGTTCAAACGTACTTTATAATTTTCTTTTTCAAATATCAAATAATTTTTAGTAATAATAGATTCACGAAGAATATTCACACAATATAAGTAAATTAATCGTTAGTTGGATTTAATGATTAACAATTAAAACTCATCACCGTGGTTTAATTAATGTTTCTTTTTTCCTTCATTTATTTTTATTGTTTTATTATTATCATTACTGAAAAAAATGAGCACAGTGATACGAGAATTATTTTACGAAATAATTCATCGATGACTGAAACACGCACAAAAACAAATTACTTTTGCAATTACATTGTAACTTGTAGAAATATTCTCATATAATCATCGTTTTGATTAAGTTTCCAGTAGTAATAACATTAAAACAATTCCCCAAAATTGGTATTAATAAATGTATTAAATTTAAATATTGATAGTGTATATATATATATATGCATACTTCCTCTTTTTCCCCTATATAAAAACTACTGTACGCAATAATAATAAGAAACCGAAGAAACCGTATCGCTAATTTACTAACAAGAACAAAAACATGAAATATAACTTAAGTAGTTCCCAGAATGAAAATCCTGACTTTTCTTTGCGTTACTTACTTTGAAAGGCATCTGTGAAATTCTGAATGTTATTAAAGCGATCATGCCCATTTTACATTGATTATTTTTTAGAATCGTATTTATTAGAATCGTATCGGTAATGAGAATAGTCGTATCAAAATCTTCGAAACTTGTTGGATATAATTTTTCAAAGTCGAGACTTTCGTTGCGCAACAACGGATTTTTTTATCTTTCCGTTGGTGAATTATATGTACTACTGGAATTCAATTTAATACACAGGTACAAAGATCACCCACTCAGTAATAAAAATTATAATTTATCACATACCATTCAAGTTATGTAATTTAAAGAGGAACGTAAATGTATGTAAAAAGAAGAGGAGAACAAGGGAAATCATAAAATAAAGATTATAGTTTAGGGAATAATAAACTCATACTTACGAATTACTCTTATTTTTGTTGAGTAAATGTAAGGATATTCTCGAAACAGGAAAAACAAATAAGCGCGAAGAGGATAAAAAGAGAGAGAACAGTTATTGATCCTTCGTCGAAGTATACGTAACTATGGCATGTTGTTTCTCTTCTTGTGTTTGATCCTTGTCGCCCCAACCCCAAACATCATGAGTACCATCACCGCTTTTCAGTACTCGCGATTTTATCATATCTTTCGAGACACTTTTTAGATCATAGGCCCAACCTATTTTTGCAAAGAAGTCGATGAACGCGGTTGTGATATTAAACCTGTAATTACCCAATTCGCTAGTTTTGTAATCCCATGGAAATACGTGATGATAATTATGCCAGCCTTCGCCCAATGCCATCATTGCTACTCCTTTATTTTCGGAAGGATTGATGTATCTATAAACAACAATTTCAACATTTACAAAACCATTCGTTAGAATTAATAATCGTATATTAATCCATCGGCTTTAACTAACTTGTCGTAAGGTTTATTTCCAAAAAGATGAGCGGCGGAATTCACTAGCCACGTCATATTTAAGGTGAAGACGTAACGAAATACTACGGGAATGAAATAAGAGTTGAGGAAGGTTTCATTCCAACAGTACATAGGTATTATGCTTGGCAAAATGAAGCACATCAAAGGCATCAGAATGAAGTAGTACCTGAAACATTAATCTCCTTGTAATAGCTATTCGTTTAACTTAAATTCTCATATTTCTATAAATGTAAAATATATAAAAATACTGTAAAAGCAGCCATACTTCTTCTGAAAGGCGATAATGGGATCACTTTTAAGATCGCTCATGTCGATTCCTTTACCCTTCTGTTTAACATCTGGATGTTTCCTAAGTAGCAACCAACCTACGTGAGAGAAGAAAAATCCTCTTTTTGCGTTATGTGGATCCGCATCAGTTTCGCTATATTTATGATGAACCCTGTGGTCTCTTGCCCAATCGATAGCCGCATCCTGCC